TGTGGAAGTCTTACAAAGAAGAAAACAAAGATAACTTGGGGACACGATTCCTTAGCATCTAGATGTGATGGGCCATCTAGAAGCAGTAGGAAGAGCAGAACAGACCAAAGCCATCCCACCCATCACGGGGACAGGTGAGAACACCCCAGAATTAGACAGCAGAAGCCCCAAGTAAAAATCCTGACTCCTACATTCATCTAACAGTCTCTCATTTTGCTTTTGGGCCCAGAAAGGCAAACCACTGGCAAAACCATCAGAATATCTAGCTTCAGATTCTTATTTGGAATGATTTGGTAGGTGACTTTTTGGATCTTCTAGGAACACTGAAAAGCTTTTCCATACAAATGAATAGTAATACCTTTTCCAGACTCCCAAAACTAGCCCACCAAATTGTACCAAATAGAAATATTCCAGTTTCATCTATTGTGGGAAACCTGCACATAAAATGTGTCTTTATTCTGCATAAGTACAGAATTATTACACTTCCACTGCAACATTTTCATCATACTTCACCTATATAATTAACCAGATGGAGATTCCCTACTATAGATAATCTATGCGAAAAAATATACTTTGACTAAAATTATTCAGATAGTAAAAAATTCCATTTGCTGTAAATTGTGTTTATGGTCCATGTGAATTATCATTTATTAAATGTTTATAGTGGTACCTCTATTTCTTCCTAGGACCTCAGCATAAAGGATGCTTCCTGTTTAGCACCACTTCATGCCAAAATGTCCAGTGTCTAAACACAGTCTTGGTGCATTAAGGTAACAGCCTTAGACTAAGTGGAGGTAGGAAGGGAACAATGTTTCTTATGGAATTAAAACACGACAAGATACACAGATCATTAGCATTCCTGTGGGGTCAAAAGACTTAAGCCTATGTCCAGACTGTATAAGTGATAATCAGAATTTTAAGTATCTTCCAAAAATTTAGAGGCTGAGTGGGGAGGAGGGAGGGTTTGTTCTCAGGAAAGTGTCATATTCAGTTCCAGTGATGAAGAGTAATTTTCATGGTTATGGTAATGCAGGAAGGACATATTTTTCTGAAATAGTTTAACACTTAAACAGTGTTGGTTGTTCACTGTTATCTCTTCATTTCACCATGATTGTTCTTTTAATTTTAGAATGTTTTTATTTTATGGCTTCAGACTGCAAAGTAGTTTTTACTTATATAATTTTAAAAAATAATTTATTCATGCCTACAGAACTGGGGTACAGGCCAGAGGTGCAGGGACGGTGAAAGGCTTCACCAGAGACAGAGTGGGGAGCAGAACAGGCAGATCGACGAAGGGGAAAATATCAGTTGTTTTCACTAACAGCAGGAGCATAAAGGAACCAGGGGTTGGGGGGGAATAATAATAATAATAATAATAATAATGAACAACTATATACCAGAGACATTTTACGGGGGGCGGAGTGGGGAATGGGATCAAAAATGGGGGGGGGGGGGAAGTGCACTGGACTATGGTGATGGCACACGCGTGATCTGGTGATAGGAAGCCCACGGGGATGACAACTAAGATGGAAAAAGGCACAAAATGACATAAAAATAAACTATTATAGTATATAAAAAAAACAAAAAAAACTAGTACCTTGAAACTGGCAGTCAAGTGCCTTCCTGAGATCCAAGCCATTCTAGGAAACTACCGAATCTGAGGAGCGGGCTGTGGAACCCCCAAATTTGTAGCCACCTGGCTCCGAAAAACCTTGAAGTGCTTGAGGAATCACACCAAGACTGTTCTGTATTTACTTCAGTGATTATTGAAACTCCAGGTACAGAGCTTTTAAGCTTTCATTATTGTATTTTCTCATTTTGTCTCATTCCAGAATAAGAGCTGGAAAGCCTTCTGTACTCGCTTCCCATAGCAGCTGAGCGGCTGAAAACAAGACATGCGGGCTCTCACAGGAGGAAGACGTGGGGGCCAGAGCATAAAAACAAGGGGTCAGTAGGCTCACCTCCCTACAGAGGCTCCAGTGAGAACCCCTTCCATGTCAGCCAGCCTTTGCCTCTGGCCGCAGTAAGCATCTCTGGCGTTCTCTGCCTTGTGGCCACATCACTCTCCACTCTCCCTCCAGCTGTGCATCATCTTCCCCTCAATGCTTCTGTCTCCCCGCCAGCATCTCTTATAAGGGCATTTGTCACTCAGGGGCTACCCACAACCTAGGCTGTGCTTCTCATGCCAAACTTACATCTACAAAAACCTTTTCTTTCCATTTACGGTAACATTCATACATTCCAGGGGTGAACACATGGCCACACCTTGCAACCCACTAACGCTTCCTACACTGCCCTCCTCCCACCTCTCCAGAAACAGAAATTCTCCTTGGAAAAGAAGTACAGGGCCGTCCCCGGTGGTGTAAGGGGTTAGGACGCAGCAAGCAAGCCGCAGCCGCTTC